TGAGGAAAATGATGAGGAGCTGGGGGGTCTGTGAGCCCGCTATACCTTACTACACAAATATCCCACCTCATCCATTATATGCTCACAACAAAGACAATGTCTTTGTGCTTAAACAAGCCGATTCACAGCTCTTCATCCCCATCACGTCCACGGAGGAGTAATGGAAGGCACAAGTTATTTATCCACCTATTCTCCTTGTTTGGAAACATCACATAACCAACCAAGGAAATGAGATAAATGAGGACATACCGCTCCACTGCTACTTCTGAGGTGTTTTCATTCGCCACAACCTATGTTATTATATGATCAAGGAGCCACGTTATCAATACTTGCCCATGTTCATCGGCGGATGACCCGGTCCCATTACCTCCATGGACATATCGAAGCCAAAACGGTCCATACTTAGTGGCCCCCAACCTTCTTCGGAATACTCAAGTTTCTGATGATGGCCTCTCCGGTGATCGACAACTTGGTGAGGATGTCAACATCTCTTAGTGTGCTCGTCATCCCCCCTAGAGAAAGTGGAAGGTATGTGTCTCGGGCAAGCACCTCTTTGTCATAGCCATCACTAGCTCGTTGTCAATCTCCATTCCCATGATTAATCTCACCCTATCCAGCCCCTGTCATTTCTAAATAGGGATAGAGTCGATCATGCTATCAGGGCAAGCGTGATGTCCCTTTATGAACGAGGGGAATAAGTGATTCCTATGAAAAAATGCACAAAGTAAGTTTTTAATGATAGAAAAATATAGCAACATTTCAAAATATTAAAAAACACAAATTTCGACTGTCGGGCATCCGTAACCGTTTGTTGTTTCGCATTGCATGGGATTCATGCATTGCTTGCTCAGTTAAATACATCACACCCCTCGGGTCGGGTTGGAAATACAATCTAGGATCGTAAATATCTGCGACGTTCTATCATTAAATATAAAAAATAAATTTATTTGATTTGTAAACAAATCTTGAAAATACAAATGTTGAAATACAAGATTTTTTTTTGGTGCAGGATGTCGGACTTAGCTGCAACTATAGAGCATACTAAGAATTCTTTATTTGGAGTATTTTGGAAAAAAATCATTAGAATTCAAAAAATAAACGTGTCAATCATGGTTAACTTTCAAAGACATTATTGGTCTTATCATGTGCCATCAATGATTCATGTTGATAAATTGAAAATACCAAATATAGGACAAATTTACTGAACAATAAATCACAAAATGAAAACAAGTAGGTACCCTAAGAGGCTCTTCATCCATTTTGATAAAAGTCGGACAAAGGTTCGACCGGATTTTTAGAGGGAGAGGGTTGTCACAATCTCTAGGAAACTTTTTTGATGTAGAAGGTCGGCGTTAGCCGCAACCACAAAGCATATTAAGAATTCCTCGAGTGGTAGATGAGAGGAATAAATAAATGCCGTGGTCGATTGCTTTCCTCTAACGCAATCAACGATTTATTGTCGTCCACATCAAGAATTCTTGACGATCCGCAATCAATCTGGCATTTCACGTCAACGATCCGTGTCGACTACCACGACCAATCGCGTTCCTCGACTGCGAAGTGCAAAGATTGCACCCCTCTAAAGCGATATAGGCGTTGATCACTTGACATGTCAAAAATCCTTGTCGATCAAGTACGCTATAGCGATCAATTCATAATCAATTTCCTCATCAATTTTGTTGCATATCGTTTTCCTCATTGATAATCAAATAAAAACATGTTTAAATTGCAAATATTATAAGAACTATGGTATTTTGAGAATTTTTTTAAACAACAGGTCTACTTATGGGAAAAAATCGAGTAATTAGCATAATTGGTTATAAACCTTTGCACTTAGTACAAAACGGTCACAAACCTTTAATTTGTAATGATATGGTAACAAAAGTTTGTATTAAATTAATAACAAAATAATCACAAATTAAAGAGAGTGGCCATTTCATACAAGTTCAAATTTTTGTTACCGTGTCATTACAAATTAAACTTTTGGTGATCGTTTGTACAACGTTCAAAGATTTGAACGATCAATCACTATTAAAATTCACTCCAATCGAGTTATGATAACTTCGTTAATTTATGTGAATGATATAGTCATAACAAAATATGACAATACTCATAAGAAAAAACAAAGGATGACAGTGAGGGAATTCAATGCCTCGCAAATGGGTTACATGCTGCTTTTTAGTGCAAAAAACTCGAATTACTTTCTTATGTTCTCGGTATTGAAATTGAAAGGTAAATATTTGACATTCTAATTCGGCAAAACAAGTATATCGATGAACGCACGACCCGACATTTCACGTCGTTCAAGTGGTTAGTGACATATACTTGACAAACGCACGATTCGACCTCAAAACGGTCACAAACTTTAATTTGTAACGACTCGATAACAAAATCGTTGCACTTAATACAAAATGGTCACAAATAAAACAGAAGTGACCATTTCATATAATTTTGAACTTTTGTTAGTGTATCGTTACAAATTAAAAGTTTGTGACCGTTTTGTACTAAGTGCAAAGGTTTGTGACGGTTAGGTTAATTTCATTCAAACCTCTTCACTGTCTCCATTTCTCAAATATATGTTCAATTTTCGTTTTGCTTAATTCGTTACTCTAATCCAACTTTAATTGCTGAGTTTCTTAAAAATTTATGTCCAATGCGTTGTTGTTCTTTTGCGTGACCCTGACCATTGCTTTTTCTGAGATCCAGAAAATTCTTCTCTCTTTGACTAAGAACAAATATTGAAGCAAGCTAACCGTTCTTTTAATTAACTTACGTAGGCGCAATATAATAGAGGTCAGCGGATTTAAATTTGGATTACGAAGAGGTGATTAGGGATTACTATGGAAGCCGAGTTGGTAAGTGGCAACGGAAGCACGAAGTGTCGTCGACTTTCAGTGAAGAAAGTGCCTCAAGTTATCAAGAGGTTGTTGTGTCCATTCCAAAGATTGAAATACCGTATCAGAAAAGTCAGCGGTAGGATATTTTATACTAAAATCATGGTTTAATTATGGTTCAACCATACTATACCGCTAAATACCGCCTACCGATTTTGCTTCCAGTAAGAGGTTGAACTACCGTATCGGAGGTCGTACCGAAAAAGTCAGATGTAAAGTATTTTATGCTAAAACCGTGATTTATTCATGATTCAACCGTATTATACCACTAAATACCGCCTACTGATTTTGCTTTAAGTAAGAGGTTTTTCATATTGAACCGCCGATACGATATTTTAATGCTTGGTCCATATAAGAGGTTAAAAGGCTTAACTATCCCTTTCCCAACAACTCGAGTTAGTGGGACCAAGTGGTTAGTTCGCTAACATGGTATCAGAGCCTAGAACCGAAAGGTCATGGTTTCAAATCCTTATAACGACCCCCAATTCATGCCAATTCGTTTAGCACAAGGAATGGTATGTCCAACCTGTGCAAACTAAAGCCTCGTGGTTTGGCAGCACAAGGGTTCAACCTGTGCAAACCGTAAAAATCCACAATTCGGCATCGGCTTTCGTTTGAGGGGGCGTATAAGAGATTAAAAGGTTTAACTATCCCTTTCCCAACAACTCGAGTTAGTGGGACCAAGTGATTAGTTCGCTAACCGTCCATTCCCAATTCTTGTTCAAGCCAAGGGGGGTCCACCCAGCAAATTGGCCGCCACTGAATAGATTAGCCCTATGCCACTGAGAAAACTCTCAGACAGTACGACACCAATTTCCAATGTCCACGACTCCAGGGTGCTGCAGTCCCGTTTCTTCGGTGTCTATCAAAGTCACTTTTCGGCCCTGATCTTCCACTTCGCTCTAAGCAGCGCGGAAAGATGGACTACCGAAACAAGCTTGTCCTTGCTCCCATGGTTCGAGTTGTGAGTCAATCAACCTCCAACCAGCTCTGCTTTAGTCCCCCTAACTTCTTTTTTCTCTACAACCGAACGCGCCTCTCTGCCTCCCTTGTTGCTTCATACCTTCTAATCCGTTTCCACCGGCGACTACTGCCGTTGTTGATGTTTCTGTTCCAGGGGACGTTACCGTTGAGGCTGTTGGCGGCTGAATACGGAGCAGATATCACCTATGGGGAAGAGATTATCGATCATAAGATGGTCAAGTGCGAGCGCAGAGTTAATGGTTATCTTCTATTCCTCCCCCATTTGCCTTGTTTTTCTTTTTAATGCTAGAGGCGCTGAATTTCTGCTTTCTCGATTTGCTTATTGTGCCACTGGAAAATGGTTCTCTGAGAATGTAATTTGTATGCTGCTTCTAGAGTTAATGAGTTTTCAGTATCTAAATTGTTGTTGGTTTCTTTATCCTGATTGAATTTAGATTTGTATTTACTTTTAAGGGGACAATGCTTTTTAGGTTACCAACTCATATGATGCAAAAAAATCCAATTCAAGGAGGTGATCATTGATCTTCAAACTGTTAAATGAAGCACGGCTTAAGAACGGTAATCCTTGTATCAATACTAGAGACTATTGTCACGGTTTTGCTTCTGCAACTAATTAGGTTAGAATACAGTGATTTGGGATGAAAAGTAACAACATTTTTATTTTTCATAGTCTCCATTCCATCTGAACTGAATGACCTCGAACATCATATATCATGCTGAAATGTCCATGTTTACAGCTTGGCTGCCACTGTAATGACTTGTGCTGTTTGAGTTAGAACTTGCTCCTTTGTCTTAAAGCTCTAGAAAGCTAAATAACTTATCCTGTTTTTGATAATGGTGATGATTGCATTAGAACAAAAGAAAAGAAAGAATCTGTACAAGAAACAAAAGGGAACAGCAGCACAAGACGTGCTGAGTAAAAACAAACCCAAAGAACAAAAAGAACAAAGGGGGGCTAGGCGAACCGAGAAGAACATGATGAAGAGGCAGCTCACATGTAATCCTATGATCTTGATATGCATAATTGGTGTTTGTGTGCTACTGATACTCAGACCATTACTCGGATATTAACTAGAACAGGGTGGTGAATCTGACAAATAATTTTTTTCGTAATGAAAACTACTCTTAGTGAGTCTTGATAAGGGAGAACTGATCTGTGCCAATTAGCTTAAGTTTAATGTGGAATGCGGATGCTTAGGTAATTTTGTTACCCGGTGGGTGAGGTCAACTATCTTTGATCAAGGATGATGAATATTTATATGGATTTGTGAAAATTGCAATGAAATTTATTGGTCTACGGGCCTTGATTGATGGGTAAAAAGATTAGTTCTGTAACCATTCTCATCCAAATTTCATCAAGCCTTTTTTTTGTTCTTTGATATATTTAAGATAGATGTGCTTTCTAGTTTCTACTACCTGTCTACTGAATTGTTGTAAACAGAAGTTTAGATTACTAACAACATTTCCCTTTCCAGAAAACATTGGCAGTACTGATTTTGTTGAGAAGGGAACAGAAACAGTTGTTTTCAGAACCTGCCTTCAAGAGAGAAACCAAGTGGTTTTCCAAGTTGGGACCTCAGATGCAGTCAGGGCTTTGAATGCTGCTCAACTAGTGTGAGTTCTCCTGTTTGTTAATGGAGAAATTTGTAGTAAGGGCTAGTTAAATAACTCAAAATCATTCAAGTATTTAGCATTGGAAAGAGCGCAGTGAATCTGTTTTAAATTCATATTTTTCTTCATCTGAGGGCAACTTTTTTGGCCAATGGAAATTCGTATTGCCATCTTTATTTAAGCAAATAACTTACAAAACCTGAGGCTTGATAAAAAGAACTTATTTATTTCTTTTTGCAGATGTAAAGATGTTGCTGCAATAGATGTCAATATGGGTTGCCCCAGGTCATTTTCCATAAGCGGTGGCATGGGTGCTGCCCTGCTGAGAAAGCCTGAGCTCATTGCTGATGTATGCTGATGAGATTACTACTTTTGAATTTCATTGGTGTCAATAGGAAGAGCTTTATCATCTTAACGTTGGTACAGATTTTGACAACACTAAGGAGAAACTTGGACATTCCAGTCACGTGTAAAATCAGACTGCTGAAATGCCCTCAGGATACAGTTGAACTAGCCAGGCGAATTGAAAAAACTGGCGTTTCTGCTGTTGCTGTTCATGGAAGGTGATCATATGCTGAAATTTTTTTGTGCTTTAAATCACTTATTTCTGTTTCTATTTCTGGAAGGTGATCATTCTTATATCCAAGAAGATGACACTATCAAGGTTTATGAAATTAAATACGCCCTGCTCCTTTCTCACGTCTTCGGGAATAGAAAACTAGGTTACTTTATGATTTACAAGTAAATGAGCTCTGGTGATGCATGATTGTATGGATCTTGTACTTTTCATATACCATGGAATGTCGTTACGATGAATCACTCGGATGCATGCCTTTGAAAGTATCAAAAGTGTTGGCACACATACGTGTGAATGACGATAAGATGCAACTCTTCTTTTGAAAATTTAGCAAATTATTGGCACACATGCTTAGGCAGTAAGGAATTGAGTCTCAATACTATTACAATCCCGTGAAATTTCCTGGTCATTCATATGTATTCATATTGATTAAACTGCAGAAAAGTTGCAGATAGACCAAGGGATCCAGCTAAGTGGAACGAGATTGCAGACATTGTAGCTGCATTATCTATACCAGTCATAGCAAATGGTGATGTCTTTGAGTATGGTGATTTTGAGCGTATCAAAGTTGCAACAGGTATCTATCATATGCCCTGAAGATAAGCAAGTCCCACTCTTATTTTGTCAGCTACCAGGCGATGCTTGTGTTTGTATAACCTAGTGCTTGTTGGTCTTTCAGCTATGGTTCGTACCTATCTTTCTTCAGATTTTGCTGAATAAGATTTAGTGCTTAACTGTAGCCTAGAAATTTGCAGTTATTTATAGTTAATGGTTCCGAAAAGTATGATACATAGATCAGTAGTTCAGGATTTTGGAGGATAGAATCTTCTGTGATTGTTTCCCTAAGGTTCTCTATAACCTCTGCCTTTATACCAAATTAAATCTCAAGTTACCTTGATTTGCTTCAAGGTGCCACATCGGTAATGGCGGCAAGAGGAGCTCTATGGAATGCCTCAATTTTCTCGCCTGTGGGGAAATTAGATTGGGAAGATGTTAAAAGACAGTATGTTCGAAAAGTAGGTATAGTCAATGTCTTTATGCGGTATCTATTCTGCAATGCAACCACAATGCTATTTCGCAGGGAACAATTTTTAACACCTATTTCTTGCAGAGTATCCTATGGGACAATGACGTGAAAAGCACAAAGCACACTTTGAAGGAAATGATAATGCATTACTCTTGCCTTGAACTCCCTGAAGGAAAAGATGTGATAAAATCAGAAACATTGGCAGATATAGCGTGAGTTTTACTTGGGACCGTTCTATATTTTCCAGCTTAGAAGAGTCTCCTTGTTCATATTACACATGGGTGTTAACTGTTGGTGATATTGGCATTGTCCTTAACTGATAATTTGGTAAGTCATTTAGGGTGTTTTTGAAGATTGAAAAAGGTGCAACTGGCTATGGATTTTTTTAAAACAGACATTGAGTTTCAATGCAGTCTGTTTATGCATCTGTTTTTGTGACTGTTCCCACTAACCCGTCAATCTTGCTGCTTATATTTTGTTTCTTTCTTTAATCTACTGATAAGATATTTGCGTTCTTTTTTAAGTTTCAACCATGAAAGTATCTTTATTCGGAACACACAAATAAGGTTGAAAAATGCTATCCTGTCATGAGCAGTGGCTTGACTACGAGAGAAAATTCTTATAATGATGGATTTACCTGATGCTGTGGTGACTTCTGATTGTACTAGGAAAGGACTTGGAATCTTTAGGTTTTCTCTTCACAATAGTTCTTCTCAATTTCTCGATGAGAATAGGATGTAATCCTCCTGCTACATAAAGGGCTCAGAACTGGAGTAGCACTAAATCGATAGAACATGGCCTTACACATTGCAACTTGAGACCATTATAATCCTCAGAAATATTTCTGTCTGCTGCAGTTCTATTCTGGAAATTTATATTCCGATATTGCTGGTTATGTTGATTGGAAGTGTTAAGAATTTCGGAAAGTTTGTTTTTGTGTGGGGGCTATTGCTTATATCATAATCTAGGTTGTCAATGAGTTTCGAGTTCATATATTTTGCATTTGCTTCATTGCAGGCGACTTTATGGAGAGGAAAAGTATTATCAGTTCGTCAATGAAAACAGGACTATGCTCAATGGCGGACATAGGCAGGGGAAGTTTATGGTTGCTCCTGAGATTTGATGTCTTTTACCCTTCGTGTTCATTATATGAGTCGCTTGTTAAGAATTCATTGTATCAAGAGTATACAATGAAAGCCCATTTTGACTGTGCACTAACCTCCCAGGAAGAAGGTGATTAATGCATGCCTTTTGTTGGGCCATTTGTAGTTGTACATTGACACTGCTGCTGCATCATCTGATTTATCAACATTCTGTTTGAAGAACTGCAACGTCATAATACAGACTTACAGTCCAGAGGCCATGTGGGCACTGTTTCGTGCTCAACATGGTCATGTTGTCATACTCTTATCTCACTGCCATATCCAATGATTTTAGAACTGACAATAAGTTTGAACTACTTGGTTCTGTCTTTCAAGGTCTTCCACCAAGTTGTGTTTCTCTGCACTTCCTTCACTGTTCTTGTATTCCTTCTTGATTCTCTTCTCCAATTTACCTCTCTTTTCTTCTCAATCCAGTGTCCGATTGATCCATGCCTAAGGCCAGCTGTAACAGCTTGGTATTAGAGCTTTTTCCAGCAACCATGATGGTGCCTCCGCCTCTTTCAATGATCGACCAACGATCATCAACCAATGGTAGCTCACTTGTTGCTTGTCATGAGTCAGATAGAAAGAATTGGCATCTTCTCCTGGTCAGAGGAAATCAATCCTTCTGTTCATCTCCACCAATGGTTCTCCCTCCAACCCTAATTTCCTCTACAACGAGATATCTAGCAGTGGTTGTTTCTTCAATTGCCACCGATGACAGTGGCATCTGATGCGATCTATTGCCTTCACTGTTGGTTGAGAGTGTAACGAGGCAAGATTCTAAATCTTCAACCTCGACCATAGTTTCCTTTATTCATTGGAAAAACAGTAGATGTTGGGCCAACAAGTTTCGGGAGTTGTTTACTGTTCTACATGAACACCTGATCATCAAACGGTTGAGGTTGTAGCAGCAGGCACATGCCAAATATTTGGTCCTGTAGTTGGGCTTCTTGGGAATCGGTGTTGGTTTGGAGCAAGGTTGTCAACCTCGGACCCGGTTGAGCTAGTGGGTCAAGGGTTAATGGGTCACCCGTTTTAGTCCGGTTTAGCTCGGAAATATGGAAAGCGTCATTATATTGTACTTATCCTGATAAATTATATCAAATCTCATCTAACATATGAGTTATAACATATAATATTACACCAAAATAACATTTCGTACTTAGATTCAACATATAGTAAAAATTCACACACACTTATATAACATTAATATTCAAATGTTCAACTTAGGATTCCAAAGATTGAGTTAGGCGAAAAGAAAAATCGAAAAATAGGCGCATTTCGCAAAACAAAGAAAAAATAACACAATTTGACCTCCAACTCGGTACCTTGTAGCGGTCGACACGGCGGGTGCGTGCGGCCCGTTTTTTTCACCGGGTCAGGGTTAAACTGGGTCGACCCGCAGGTCGACCCGCGAGTTGACAACCTTGGTTTGGAGTGAATTTGTGGATGACCTGTGCAATCTTTTTTAGCCTTCACTAATGGTGGTGTAGCAATGAATAATGATGGTTTGTCAAAACACTAACTACTCCAATATATGTCATCTATTGTCTAATTGGATCTATACTCTAGATTGGCGAAGTAGTATAATGACGACTTTCAATATGGTATTCTCGAGAGATAAATATATTGTTACGTTGATGACTCGTCCTTGTAATTAGAGGTGTCAATTGGGCGGGTTGGGTCGGGTTCGGATTGAGTCTAATCGGGTTGGGTTCAATCGGGTTGCGAGTTCAATCGGGTCGGTTTCAATTTGGATCAGGTTTAATTTGGTTGCAGGTCAATTGGGTTACGAGTCAATCAGGTCACTGGTCAATTGGGTTACGGAACGGGTCGGGTTACAAGTGCATCAAATTACGGGTTTACTGGATTGCGGGTTAATTTGGGTTCGGTCAGGTCGGATTATGGGTTATTCGGGTCAACCCATTGGATCATTTACTTCTTGACAGAAAATAATGTTTTACAAACTATCAATACATGAATATAAATTGTAGGTAATGATACAAAATTTAAGAAAATGATAATATGATAATATTTTACAGATACAAATTAAATATCCATTATGTTAGTATAAAAACTAAATATAAATAAAATAGTGTATATAAAAGCTTTGTTGTTGGTTATAATTTTTTGCTTATGGTGAGAGATTCTAACTTCACTTATTTTATTAATTTATAAAAAAATTGAATCAGTAAAAATTTGAGAATGAAGTAAAAAAGGTAGACTATATGCTTATACATTTCAAAACGAATCGTCTTAATTAAATATAGTATGAACTAGATGTATGTCTCTTCATTTCCACGAAGACTTATGAACATCATTCCAAATCACCCACTTATATATCTTCACAATTTTTTTATATATTCACGGTAACATCTCATCCTAAAACTTATGGCTCGAACAACGGTTCGCTCAAATATGAAATTATCATCTGGTTCGAATCGTCGATTTATTAATTTATAAAAAATAAATCAAATCAGTAAAAAGTTGAGAATGAAGTAAAAAGGATAAACTATCCACTTATATATCTTGATAAGGATCATTGATTTTGAGGATTTCATTGATTTTCAAGGGTTGATTTTTTTAATATAGTTATGGGTGGTGGAGATACAAATTTGTGTCTAACTCTTCCTATTATCTTCAAAACTTTATCCTTTGAATTTCATAAAATAAAAAATGAATGAAAAGATATTTCACATATTATTATTTTAAAAATTAAATATTTAAGAAAAACCTCAATTTATACCATCAATTCTACAAATAATTTTCAATTATTTTGAGATAAATAGTTCTTTCTTGATAAATTAAAAAATATAATAATGTATACATTGAATTTTTATACAAGCATTCGGGTCAAATGGGTTATTCGAGTTGGGTTGAGTTCGGTTACGAGTTATTTGGGTTATGAATCATTCGGGTTATAGATGGGTCGGGTTATGGGTTGGATCGGATAACGAGTTTATCGAGTTATGGGTTAATCGGATTACGGGTCAATTGGTTTCATGTTACGGGCAGGCTTCGGGTGGTTGACTTTTTGTCAAATCGGGTTACGGACGGGTTGTGGGTCGGGTGGGTTAGTTGGGTCGGGTTCAATTTTGACAGTACTATTTGTAATCCCCTTAATTTTTTTATTATGAAAAACCTCTAAATTGATAACTATTCACTGCACATGCTCCTAGCTATACTCCTAACCAAGAAATTGGATCAATGGGTACTTGGGCAGGCGGCCAATCGTTTGCCTAGGATTTTAGGTTAGAATCTTCAATTGGGGGCTCACCTAATGAGCAAATAAACATGTAACTCAATGGGCATGCAATTACACATTTATACTATTTCATATTGTTATCTTACTATGTCTTACTCCATTACTGTAATTGTTGATTGAGATTATGCTCACAAGAAGAACTGAAGAACATCAATCATTCAAGTAGAAGAAACACAGTTTCACTAGTTCTTGAGAAACTCTAAATCGAAAGGGAAAAGAACAGAAGAGAAACATCAATACAAACACTACGCCCAGATTGTCTAGAGTTCCTGGCAACCGCCCCAACTCTAGCAATTTAGACACTTAAGACTGAACCCAATCCAAACACTCCTAAAGAACTAACCCGTTCTAACTAAGCAGTGGAAACCGTTGATGATCTCCTTCCTTGACAAGTCTTTAAATAGGATTTCGAAGCTCTTCTTCGATCTCTCTCTTCTTCAATGAGGTTACCATTGTCAGAGGCATTGAAAGGGAGATTGGTATTGCCATTCATCGGGGAAGTTATTTCTGCTCGATGTTTTGATGATGAGGGATTGGGAATGAAGGAGAAGACGCCATCAGGGACCTCAACGTTGACAGAGAAGCGAAGTGGGCTTCTGGTGAATGGACTTTGTGGTTTGATCCGTCGAGATGACCATGGGCCAAGGCCCAACAATCTCCACCTGTGGCCAAGGCCCAACATATTCTGCTTCTGCTGTTGACAGAGCAACAGATCCTTGTTTTTAAATCGACCAAGACACTAAAGACCCCCCAAAAAATTGACATGTACCACTGGTACTCTTTCTGTCAGTGATGCTACCAGCAAAGTCAGAATCAGAGTAACCAATCAGAGACAAACCCTCAGATTTAGGATACCATAGTCCAAGATCATGAGTACCCTTTAGATATCTAAAGATTCTTTTCACAGCTACCATGTGACTTTCTTTAGGTTGATTTTGAAATCTGGCACACAGACAGACACTGAACTGAATATCAGGTCTACTAGCTGTTAGATACAATAGTGAACCTATCATTCCTCTATACCTTTTTGTCACATACAGGTTGCCTATCCAAGTCATAATCTAGATGAGTATTTGATGCAGTGGGGGCTTTACAGGGACTGACATTCATCAAGTTGAATTTGGACAACATAGATTGGAGGTACTTGGTTTGATGAATGAAGATTCCAGTATTAGTTTGATGAATTTGCAGACCAAGAAAAAATGTTAATTCTCCCATAAGGTTCATTTCAAATTGACTTTTCATGGAAGAGCAGAATTCATCACACATGTTAGGGTCTGTACTTCCAAAGACAATATCATCCACATACACTTGGACTATCAAGGAATGTTCATTTTTTCTTTTAATGAAAAGAGTTTTGTCAACTCCACCTTGACAGAACCCTTGAGATATCAGAAAGGAGGTTAATTTTTCATACCAAGCTCTGGGAGCTTGTTTAAGACCATAAAGAGCTTTGGAAAGCTTAAACACATGGTCTGGAAACTCAAACTCAGTGAAACCAGGAGGCTGCTCAACAAACACATCTTCCTTAATTTCACCATTCAGGAATGCACTTTTTACATCCATTTGAAAGAGTTTAAAGTTCATAAGACTGGCATAAGCACATAGAAGTCTAATGGATTCTAGTCAAGCTACTGGGCAAAGGTTTCATCATAATCAATGCCCTCCTCTTGATTGTATCCTTGGGCAACATGGCGAGCTTTGTTTTTAATAATAAACCCTAACTCATCAGATTTATTCCTAAAGATCCATTTTGTTCCAATAACAGTTACGTTTACAGGTCTGGGAATTAGTCTGAAAAAATGTGACAATTCTTCTTGCATGGCAAGCAACCACTCTTCATCAAGTATTGCTTCCTTATAATTTTTGGTTCAAGTAAGGAAACAAAGGCATACTGACATGGGGTGTACTTACCTCTAGTGTGGAGGGGATCTGATATGTTATCTATAATTTGAGAAGGTGGGTGCCTTCTCCTGGTGTGAGCAGGAGCTTCAATGTTTTCAGAGGAATCAGTCTCAGAGGAAGCCACTGGAGG